GTTTATTATTCTACAGTACTGATGTTAACCAAGGATACCCTAAAACCCCGAGGGTTGCACCACTGCCTTGGTCGGGGGCACACGTTCCCAATTTTCTCCGCTTGCTGGTTTTAGGGTTTTCGTGTCCGGCTTTGGTGCACTTAGCAATTGTCTTTTTATTCATAGCTTGTATTATATGCTGAGATGGAATAAACGGGACGATGGCTTGGTTGGCCAACGCACCCAATTTAATCACTGTCTAGTGTGTCCGGATGTGTAGTGGAGGCAAAATATGTGCCCTTTAAACTCTATTCGGACTCCAGTAACATACTGAAGTATCACAGGATCGGAAGTGAGGCCTTCCCACTGCGCCTAAAAGTTGCGTAGTCTACCAGCTTGAAAACTGGTTTGCTTAGCGAGCATGTTTTGTGCAACATCACCGCGTGATGACATGACGAGTTTTTCACATACCTTAGGTATCAATAGCTTCGTGGCTTCTCGCCCCCTTCTTTCTTTTTCTTGAATTTCGGATACTGGCTGCGCCCTAAAAATGCGAATTTTTGGAGCCTCGTTACTGGTAGGGATGAAATCAGTTTTCCGCCCGGCTAGCAAAGGATCTATGCGTACGGTGTGAGAGAGTTCTGTACATGTCTCCGCGACCAGTCGACTGGGAGGGCCGCATTCTCTTCGTCAGCTTGTTTACATCGGTGATGTCCTTGGTGAGCTTAGACAAATCACCGAGAAGAAATTCGGACGTTCCCACGACCGTGCTACAGACAGAAACATAGTCCTTGTGCGACTCTTTTTTCATTTGGAAGCCGCCTTGCGTGGCTTGCTTCGTGGTGACATTGTATCGCCAGAGCGATAGCATCAGTGACTAATGTCAGCAATTTGCTATCCTCCGCATATTTCCTCATAACCATGTCTGCTGCTTTTGCCATGGCAATCGTAGAAGCCACAAACGTGCTTTGGTTCTTTTGGGAGCCAGCATCCTGCGTTCGCATGGACACAGATATCTGGTTCTAAATCAGTGGATTAACCTTGGGTGTGCGCTGGCGAATATTGATCTAGCTTTGTTTTGATCCCGTCAGCGCTCATTTTATCCTTGAGAAGAGCATTCATTAGCTCGGCCAGCTCGCCCTCGATAGCAAGGCCTGTTTTGTCCTTCAGGTTGAGGTCCTGAGCTATGGCCTTCAGTAAGGCCTTATGTCCGCCCTGCGAGGATTCGGTGGCCGTTATATCCTGAGTCGCAGACTCTCCACGATCAGGTGGGTCGTCGCGGTCGGGTTCGAAGCTGTGATCGTCCCCGCTAAGCAGCCTGGCAATGTTGCCATTTATTTGCTGCACCTGTTTTAGCAGAAGCAAGAACTTGTCGTCTGCATCCAGCTGCCTAGGCCTAGCCGTTGCGCTCGTTTCCGCGGTCACATTCTCGGAGTCACCCATACTAGAAAAGCCCTAACTGCGTTAGGGCCAAAAGCGTAAACGTGTGTCAACTACGTGAACACAAAAACCTGGAGAATTGAAGAACTGACTACGTCAGTCGCTCCAGGAAGAAGTAGTTTTCAGTTTTAGTTCGTTGTACGAAGTACACCGTCTAGTCGCGCAAAGCGCAAACCAAGCAATGGCTCGTGCAAGCGCCGTGCTATCTCATGGGACCTCCAGCCTTCTGATCATGTGATAGAATTGCGAACGCGCGCGCAACAATTTGTACTGCAGTGCAAATTAAAAATGAACGATAAATTGGCCCGCTGTCAGCCAATCACAATGAAGTAATTTGCTTAAGTGCTTTTTTTTTCTTTTTGCAGGTTTATGGACCTCGCCTGGGACTCGGTTTACAAACCTGTAAAAACAGGAAAAAAAAAAAAGAGAGAGAAACTCAACCATATACAATGGAGGACAAAAATCCTTGGAAACAATATGGAAAACCTTACTTCCACATCCTTAACTTATCAAATAATCAGATGTAGCGTAATATGCACTTTTCTAACCACGTGGATTCCGAGAATGGCCCTCCCCTCCCCCCTCCAAACAATGTTGGGATGATGAAACACTTTCAGGACAGGCTAAAGTGTACAGGGCTGCACAAACTACAACATTGCTTGGGGGCGAGGAGGAAAGGAGGAGAAATTGAGGCATAGCGTCTTAATTGTCCTAAGCGTTTTATCCCCCACGCGTTTTGTCCTCAATTACGAACGCGCGCGCAATAATTTGTACTGCTCTCAGCCAATCACAGTGAAGTAATTTGCTTAACGGTTCTATTTTGTCTTTCTTTTTGCAGGTTTATGGACCTCGCCTGGGACTCGGTCCACAAACCTGTAAAAGAAAAAAAAGAACTCAACCAATATATCTCCAACACGGACCGAACAAGCTGGTTCATATCTTTATTACATGAAACATGACCGTCTCAAATATCACGAGACGGCTTACAATGCCTTTTGATTAAGCACAGGTGTAAACACTTTTTAAAGAAACTGACTATCTAGATAGCAGCAGACATGTAAAGATTTTAAGGAAAACGACCAATTTTTTAAGTTTGCTAGACATGTTTCGACAAAGCTTCTGTCATCTTCAGTGAATGAATGATTACAAAGCAAGTTGAATAATAAGTAGGCAAAAATGCTAATTAAGACAAATAGTAACAA